GACCGTGTTCTTCAATTCCATTTTTATTTAGAAAGTAAAAGATAAACCAAATTATACAGGGAGAGAGAGAGAGAGAGAGAGATTATGAGAGAGAGAGAGAAAAGGTGGGCCCTTTTTTAATTTATTAACTATTAAAATAAATATATTAATATTAGATTTAAAAAGAAATGAAAGAAAAATGAAAAATAAATAATCCATGGGTATTACAGTCATTTCACTATTTAGAGGGATTAAAAATGCAATGAAACTAGCTTAAAAGGACCATGAAGCCAAAAAAGTTGGAGTTTGGACTAAAACTCCAAAAAAATGCATACCATAGGGATCATTTTTGCAATTTTATCTAATTTTTTTTATAGTCTCACAATATCAATCATAATTTTCAAATAGTTTAATATTAAATAATCTACTATAACTAAAATAAAATAAGACAAAACTGCAAAAATGGTCCCTGTGGTATGCATTTTTTTGGGGTTTTAGTCCAAACCACGACTTTTTTGGATTGGTAGTCCTTTTGAGCTAGTTTGTAGTGGAAAAGGTCCATCCTCAAATTGAAAAGACTAAAATACCCTTAATATATATTTTCTTCATTTTTCTTTCTTTTTTTAACTATTTTATAATTAATAAATAAATACAAAAAATGACTCTCTCTCTCTCTTCCAATTTTTCTGTAAGTTCACCCCCTACTAGATCGGAATTACCATCTCCGTCGAGACCAAGCATCCACCTTTGATGGAGCCTCCACTGGTAACAAGTTTCGCTCCTCTCCACCATTTCTTCTTCTTCTGCCTAATCTAAAACTTTGATCTCCAACATTTGACCAGGGGCACCGAGAACTAGATAACAATGATAAAGAATTACATGCAAATCGGTGGTGGGTATGGCGGTTCATATGGAACAAATCAATTATTCATCAATAAAAATGCGTTTGCATCGAGGATTAATCTGTTAATGATGTTAAAAAGAAGAATCGATCAAAACATGTTGCAAATTCATGATTCTGTGTGCTCATCGATGATGGAGGGTTGTCATTGCATCTTCTTCCTTGGTGAATGAAGAATACCATATCGGAATCCACAAAACTCAAACACAATGCATCAAATTTCAAACCCAAACTCACCTTTGTTCCTATTCTCCGGTTATAAATCCAAGCAGCCTCCCTCACCACCACAGACGGTTACCACCTCCTCCACCTCCTTTTCTCATTCACAATTTGCTACCAAGCACCCCTGAATGTTGAAATTTTAGTTGTTTTGTTTCTCCCGGTTTATTGTTGCTAGCGACAAGATGAGAGGACCAAAGAGACCTCGATACATATCAACTCCTTTCCCCTCCTCGGTATTTACCAGCCACACCAAAACTCCCATGTATGAAGACGAAGATGCTGACCCATTCTTCAACCCTCGGGCTTCAAGCCCCGAAACGGAACACATTTTATCGAGATTCATCTCCAGGGATAGTGATAATTCAAGCTCTCATCAGAATATAGGTCGAATTCGGGGAAATCCCCCCCCCCCCATTTATGGATCATATGAAGTAGGAACGAGCGAGATCCATGGAACTATCGGGAGGTGTTGTTTTTGTCGTCGACGGGGATGAGAACACAAACAAGAACTTAATCAAACAAATTAATCATATATAGATAAATCAATCAGATTTATGTTCTAATTGGACTGAACGAGAATAAGACCCACAATCAAGAACTTAATTTAACCTTCTGCCCTAATTCCACATGAAAACACAAACAAAATCAATGTTATACCATCAATAAATGTGGATCTAGACTAGAAATAATTAGTTACATATCCAATACAATGTCAATTTTGGATATCTATCAGATGGGGAGAAGAATGAGAAGGGCATCAAAGATGGTGGTGGTAGTCGGTGGAAAGGAGGTTGCAAAAATCGATCTCTCAAATTGAAGTGACAATGGTCATCAAAGAGGAAGAAGGCAACAAAGGTGGTCATCGATGTAAGGGAAATCGGTGGTTGTTGCTGTCGTAATATGGAGGTTTGACATAGGGTCTTGGTGATCGGAGGTGGTGGGAGGCGAGGTCTTTCAAGAAGTTGTGGACTTTGATGGTAGGGGTGATGGTATGGAGAGAGAGAGAGAGAGAGAGAGAGAGAGAGAGAGAGAGAGAGAAGGAGGGGGTATGTGGGTCCAATATAATTATTTATTTTCTTTTTCATTTAAATTAAATAGAAGAAACATAAAAAAAAAAATATCAGAAGGGTATTATAGTCATTTCAATTTACTGAGGGACTAAAAACGCAACGAAACTAGTTCAAAATGACCACCTATCCAAAAAAGTTGTGGTTTGGACTAAAACCCCCAAAAAAATGCATACCACATGGACCATTTTTACAATTTTGTCATAAAATAAATAATAGTTTATAACTATATATAGTTTTCTTTAATTATCGAGAAGTAAAGTAAAATATACAAAACATAATTAATATATTAAGCACTAATGTATTGTAATATTTAAAATAATAAGATATTCACACATGATCATTACTTGACCAAAAATGTTCGACTAAATCGAAACGAAGATGAGGATGCAGTTTGTTTGAATGGTACTATAATAGTTTTAAGGCTTAATGACCTAGAAATGAATACACCAACCATATTAATATTCATCTTTATCTATTATGTGAAAAAAACTTTTCTAATGACATTCCATATTTTTAAACATATGAACTTTTGCATAATAAAAAATTCGTTTAAACTTCTAATAGATGATATGATAATTTACAAAAAGACAAGATCATACAAAAAGTTTTTGACCAGATCTAAAACATTTAGATCTTTATACATTTAAAACTCATGTATTATACGGGTGACAAGTTAAAATAACATAGATAATAATAATAATAATAATAATAATAATAATAATAATAAACAATTAACCATAACCTTGCAAGCACTTATTTGTATGCAACTAAATCTAAAAAATGAACAAAAATACGTAAGTAAAAAATACATATCTTGCAATAATATTTCTTTGGTGGTGTGTACATAATGCAATGATAGTTGTATAAACGTTATTGGACTAAGATCGGGACTTATGTCAAGAGAAAAAGATTTACAGTATTTCTCACTCAAAAGGTGAGGCAACTTGCTCTCTATCTCTAATATGCGGAAAAGACGTGAATACCCTCTTTATCCTTATCATGATGAAAATGAAAACAGAAGCAGAAAACGGTAAAAATTGATAATGACAAAAGCATGTAAAACTGGAAAATGGTAAATACATGTGAAACTGCACAATCTCAAAGTAGGATGCTATTTAACAGATTTCCAACTTCAAAATCTGTCAAAAATAGTAACCTACTTAAAAAAATCTTGAAATAAAGTGTTTGTTTGGTGCTTTTGTCAAAAAGCAAATAGAAAAGTAGCAATTTGGTCATTTTTCCAAAAACAAAAAGTGGCAAGTTGGTCTTTTTTGTAGATAACAGAAATGTGTCATTTTTTTTTTCAGAAAACAAAAAGTAGCAATTGCCGATTTGGACATTTTTTTCGAATTTTAGTTCTCTTATGGACTTTTTTCTTTCCACAAGTTTTGACAACCGTTTTGATCATTTTTTACCCGAGAACATAGAACTTGCCAATTTTGCTAGAGAACTGAAACACGAAAAAAAATATGTTGTAATTTTTTTTATAAGGACTATTTAAAAAGAGAATACCTACAAATATTCCAAGGGTTGCAACTGTAAATTTGCCGGTATAGAAAAAAGATTCGCATTTTTGGTCCTTATTACGTGTTCCAGCACCGTTTTCATGCTAAATACAACATAGATTTGCAAGTATTTAGTCATTTTTCAGCAAAAGACATACACATGAAAGTACAGTGTTATAATCAACCACTAAATGAAAGTATGTTCTTATAATGACAACAATGTACTTTAATATATATTTTCTGATTACAGGATCCTATTTTCATTCATAGACCAAAATCATTATGAAATAACAAAATAAGGACACAAAGTTGCAAAATGCATCCAATCGTGACATTGTACTTTCACTTATTTTCTTACAATGACATTCTACTTTGAAAATTATAACCAACAACTACAATGAAAATTTGTTTTGTATCCTTATCTAAAAGAATTAACTGATATAGACCTTGTTTAAGTAACTATGGAGTTGTAACACTTAAGAGGGACCAAAAATGAAAATAGCAATGTGTATTTTTTGTTTCTTTTCTGATTACAGGGTATTCTATTTTTCTAACTGGACCAAAAATGTCATAGTAATTCATGGATAAAGTTGAATGATCATCAAACTCTTGATACATATAAGTTGTTATTTGAACAACCCAAACTAATAAACATGTTATCTGTTTTGAACAAAATGAAAAAATCTTCTAAAATTCAAGGATATAAAATGTTGTTTTAACATTAATATCTACAAAATATAGTTTTTAAGGCTTCTTTTGTCACACGAGACATGATTGGATTATAAAAAATCAGGTAGTTAGAATTTTTTTTATTACAGTTTGTTGTCTTCTCTGTTACGTACACGAGTTTTACAAAGATGTTAGATGGTGTAAACTTTCAGTCTAACGAAATCAATTCATATTTTCATCTTTCTTACTCTGTAATACTAATCAAAGTACAAAATAAAGAAAGAAAAATTCAGATAAATGAAACATAAGTGAAAGAACACTCGACCAAAGGAGAAATGGGAGTAAAGTAACACCAATTTTTAACAGGACCCATCCACATATATAATAGCAATCAAGTAATTAGAGAAAACAACAAAGGTAGCAACCAATTTTTTGAGTGTATACAAACTTAAATCTAACCAATTATAGCAAATGTCATTCAAACATAAAGTAATTTTCACGGCTATAACTAGGTAAATCGTTCAAAGTATAATGCTTTAATAATCTAGTAATAAATAGAAAAATGAAAGTAGGATGCTAAAACAAACAAATAAATAAACGATGATTTTTAAAAAAATTTAAACCCGATATGCTACTGCAAGGGTTCACGCCTGCTTACAACTTGTCCTCAAAGTCAGACAACGGTGTCATCTGCTCGTTTAGTCCTTTCCTCTTGCGAATTTGGGTCATAAGCGCATGCGCATATGAACCAACCTCCAACGGGTCCGAACGCATCACAGACCAAAATTCGAACACACATTGTGGGATAAGCTTCACCGAAGTAGCCTCCTCCAAATCAGCTGAAAATCCAAAGGACTTTAGCACAGGAACATATGCCCATATGTCATACACCATTTTCCCCGGCCTATTAACTTTTTTCTTTTCATGCACAAATCCACCCCTTTTTCTCACCAATTTGCAGCTCTTGTCAACCTCTTCTTCAGATGATGCTTGAAACTCAACCACGTAATACGGTTGCATAAACCGCGGTTGCGCAGTCAGTTGAGACGCGTATATCGCACGCTTGGCAGCCTCGACCATCTCGCTTCCATCAAGGTGGGACGCATCATCATGAAGTACCGCATCACGCACCTCAAAAGATATACACTTCATTGGCTCATTAGCTAAAGCACCTTTTTTAGATGCCTCCTGAAAACCAGCAACAATATAATCTTCAATTTCTTTCAAGGACTTATCTTCCTTACACATATCGACAACCATGTTTTGCCCATTTGTTTCAGGACCGAAACACCAGATATTCTTTCCGAGATATTTTTCCAAACCGTATTCTTCAGAGAGAATCCTTCCACGAACGTCTGGGTCGTCAAACGGACCAACTTCCCCAATTTCTATCGCGTAACCTAAACTATCATCAAGTGATCTTGCTTTCATGAACAATTGGTTATTTCCATTTCGAGACTTAGTCATAACCAGATGTGAGGATTTCTCAACAACAGTTTCATATAACAACACATAGGGCTTGGACACAAGGATTTCCCCCCCATCCATATAATCTTCCGCCAAATCCTTCGAACATATTGCCAAATTCATTTCCCCCACAACACCAATAGTATAATCGCCAGATTCTTCATGCGTGTACCCAACCAAAGGGTCGGATTTGGCCAGACTCCTTAAACCCTTAAGAAGTTTTGGGAGTTCGGATTCAACCTTACACTGTACTATAACACGGACAACCGGGGACACCGAGAACTTCATGCCGCAAATCGGGTACGCCTCGGTTTCTTTCTCATGTGTTAGTGTTGCACTTCCGGTGGTGATGAATTCATCCAAACCAAACAACGCGACTGTATTTCCACATGGAACATCTTTAATGGTTTCTTGTTTTTTCCCCATACAAATAGCGGTTCTTTCAACACTTTCAACATACATATCCTTGTCTTCACCGTCGACATAGCCAGAAGGCCTAGAACCCATGATCCTGACATTCAAACCAGCTGAAATCCGACCTGCGAAAACCCGACCTAAAGCAAAAAACCGACTCTTGTCATCGGATGTAGGAATCATTTTCGATACATAGAGCATGAGAGGGCCATCGGGATCACAATTTCTTATAGCAGTAGCATACGGATCATCCAAAGGGCCTTTATATAGATTTTCAACCCGGTATCTTTGAGCAGTCTGGGGTGAAGGCAAATGAAATATCATCATTTCAAGTAAAGGAGTTGCAATCGGAAGCCATTTCTGCATGATGCATTTCATCAATGCCTCACCCATCAACTCATCCTCTTCATTATTCATCGTGACACCGATTTGAGTCAACATACCACGTAATTGATCCTTCTGGTCATTCATAATTGCCTCAATTACCTTCTTAATGGGTTCATAACAGAACTTAACAAACCCACGTGTGCAAGTTGCAGATCCTGTACTCTTTGTGGTCCACGCTTTGGTTTTCGAGTCATAATAGTTCTCACCCCAAAGTTTTCTCATCCACGTCGACTCATCGACACCGGATATAGACGTGTATATTTTCGCGATATTTGACAATGTAAATCCCCATCCGTAGAGCCCAGATGAAAACACGACATTACCTTTCGTTGGGCACACCTTGACATCACCTAAAACCTTGTCCTCAAAGGGCTTCATGTACTCATTAAACTCTTCAATGACATTTAGGAAAGTTTGATAGGCTTCTTCACCACCAACTTGGAGTTCAAGGAAACAACGATCCATTTTGTTGAGGGCCAATACAGGTGGGATTCTCTCACCGAGTGCGAGGCGAAGCGCGTTTCTTGTTTGGATGCAAACGCCATCGATACAGTCGACAACGACAAGAGCGCCGTCGGTGATACGGAGGGCAGCGGTGAGTTCGGATGAAAAGTCAACGTGCCCGGGTGAGTCAATGAGATTGATGAGGTACTCATTTCCATTACGTTCTCCTTTGAAGGCTTCAAGGGCTACATCGGTCATTTTATAGTAGAGGGAAATCCCGGATGACTTTATGGTCATACCACGTTGTGCCTCGTCCTCACGGGTGTAGGTCATGTGGATATCGTCATCACATGGGATGATGCCCGCAGCAGTCGCAAGAGAATCAATCAAAGTGGATTTTCCTGTTGATGTTAACATTAAAAGATGAATGATAATTAATAAAGTTAACAAAAATGAAATAGGTGTAACAAAAAATGACTTGAGATGTTATACTACCATGTCCAAGTTGTCCAACAACAGACATGTTACGGATGTTATCCTTCAAGTCCATAGCCCTATGAAGATCATCAACATTAAACTTTATCGGTTGTTGCGATGGGTTGCAAGCCATTTTATAAGGGGGTGCACTTTTTTGGAATGCTTGTAACATAAATCCTGCAAGAAAAATAGCAAAGGTTGAATTAGTTATCCAAAGCAATTTTGCTAATACACATATAAATAGGTTACACGAGGTAATTAGTGGACTTGAGAATTATACTTTTCTTTATCTTGAAGTTACAAATAATCCCAAGTTTCATTGTGAAATATACAAACATAATCTTGGAAGCTCTCTTTCGAAAAAACATAATCGTGGAAGTTAAAAACAATCCCATGTATTAACTAAGGATTAGGAGCTATTGCTATTGCTATTTGCTACACATGTTGTATGGTTGTATGCATATTATGTATTGTTTTGAGCATTTAGTATAAATCTATTAAGTTAATTCCTCATATAACCTTCCTAAAGAACCATAATGTCACTTATAGCAGGTTTCAACTACATCGAGTTTGTTTTCTAAAAGGAAAATGTCAATGAGGCCCTATGAACTATCATATATCATGTTTTGGTTTAAAATGTCACTTATGTCTTTTTTGTAGTTTAGTGGCATAAACTAGATTTTTTTGGGTTAAAATGATCATTTTCATAAAAATGAAGGTGTAATCGATTACCCCTTAGCCTTGTCATCAATGACTGCCAGAAATGCATAATTGATCTTCTTCCACCACCACCTCCAATATAATCTACCTCCAGTCACCACCACCGTCAACCTTCCACCACCACCTTCACCATAGTCCCTTACCTTTCGCCTTCTTCAACCACCTCCATCCTTAAAAAACCCAATGGTTGAAAACAGTCAAAACACAGAATAAAAGAAAGTGATTTCAGGAAAAATGTCACAGCTTTTATGGGTTTCTTTCGTGCTTCTATGAAATAAAACGAAGACTCTCCCTTCTAATTCATAATTTCCTTAAAATCTTGGTCCATAAAACAACTCAATGATTAATTTCTATCAATCGTAACAGCAATAATTCGATTTGCTTCATTCAAATGCTTCAAAACAGCAAAAAAGCTTGAATTTAACGCCATTGTGATCCCATGTAAGTGTATCTGCATTTCAGGGGTTGAATCTTATAGAAAATGAGTCATTCACATCGTTTCATCAAGATTACACCACACAATTTTGGAAATCGACTTAAGAGTTCGGAATCGAAGCCCTGAGATCGCCAATTTTACCCATTTGTATCGCTTGGATATGGAATACGGATGAACAACAACCCATATTTCAATCGGATCTCTCCCGCAACTCTCTATTGTTGATCTCTGTCTTTCAATATGACTTCTTAATCGATATCCCTCTCTCCCTCTCAATCTATCTTCTGGTCGTTCTGTTTTACGGTGTAAGCTTTGTTTTCGCTGCTTTCAGATCGAATAAAGATTGTGGAAAAATATTAACTTTAATTTCAAGTGAAAAAAAAATGAACATGTAAAAATTAACTTTAATCCTCTAAACTATAAGAAAATAATATTAAGAAGCTTTTAAAATGAAATAAAACGGTTTATAAGACTATAATTATATATATCCACTGCTTCCTCACCGCAATAAACGAACAATTTCATACCACTCCTATAATATTCCACACAACTTGTCTCTATTATACTTATTAGGTGTAAGATTCATGTCTTACATAGTTGAATTTATAAGAAAAATAAAAAATATTGAATTATTAAAATTAAAGTGTTTTTCTTTTTTAAATTTAAACAAATAATTTAAATAAATAAACAAAGAAAACTAATGAGTTTTGATTAAGAAAATTTAAAATTAGCAGGAAAGTCAATTAATGAAATTAAAATATCTTTATTATTATATTTATTGCAATTGATACATTTAATAAAAATGAAACAATCACAAACTGCCATGTGAAATTTTTTTAATTGAAAACAACCACAAAATGATATGTGATCAAATCAATATAAATGTGACAAATGGTAAAAAGTTTTTTTATTTATTAGAGATGCTTATTCCATAAAAGAACTCTGTCACATTCTCGTAAATATATAATATATCCCAAAAAATTTCATAAAAGTAATTTATGATTTACAAATATAGACAACAAAGTTAGGTTAAATAACTTAAACATACTTAATAGTTAAGAATTTGGGGATGAGATGATGTGAGTGTAGAGGTCAAAACATCGGATAGAGATGTTGACAGAGCAAGAGGATCTTCAAAGTTTAGAGAGATATCGAGACGAAGATCAATGAAATTGCAAATGATGAGATAAATGAAATTGGCAATAATGAGGGAAAAAAATGCATGCTTCAAAGCATATTACATATTATATAGGTTCACAAAAGATTCATGTTTACAAGGGAAATTCAAATGGACATAGTAGTTAAAAAAAACATAGTATTTTCAAGAAACAAAATTCATAGCATTTCATGAAACAAATATTCATAACACATTCAAGACCAAAAACAATAATTCATCGCAGATTCATAACTAAAAGTAAATATTCATAGGCTCATAGTACATTCAATGTACAAATATTCATAGTAATTCAAGAAACAAAGATTACAATCACCACATAGATAAAAAATGTAGTTTTTCTAAGAAGACTGGGAGATGAACCTTGAAAGTAACATAGTGGGTTCAATCAAATTGATGCAAATTTGATGTCGTTATTAATAAGAATGTCGATGACTGCTGAATCGGAGGCTCCCAAATCTCAACCGTTTATCCGTTCCTAAAGGGGAAGGCTACTGAATCAAAGAGTTTCAAGAAGCAAAGTGCCAATGTCATGCATCTTTTATAGTCTTTTTATTTAATCTTGTTCGAAGTTGATTGTTGAAGAATCAAAGCAATGAAGCTGTTGAATAAGGAGGTGGTGGTGTGGACCGGTGAAGGAGGGGTTGACAGCGGCATAAAGTGTTCTAAAAACTCTAGCTCTTGTGGTGGTGGTGGCGGTGTTGAGCGGTGGTTTCAGCAGAATATAGAAGTGGATGAGAAAGAGAGAAAAGATTATAGAATTGTGGCAGAATGGGGAAGTGATGTTTGTTTTTATATTCAAAGGAAATGATGGTGGAGAAAAGTAGATGAGAGAGAGGTTTTTTTTTTTTTTTTTTAATTTTTTAATTTTTTAAAATTAACTCCAACTAAAATAATTTTTTTGACATTTTGTTCGTATTTTAAATAGTAGTTGCAAAAATATGTTAAATGTGAAAAACATTTATACAAAGTTTAAAGTGAAAACTGCAATAAAGTCCATACATATTGATCTTATAATCGATTTAGCTCTTATATATATATTTTTTACTCAATTAAGTCCCAAATGCCGGTAATCGTATTCAATTTAACCCTTTGACCCGGTCAACAGGTCATCCAACTTTCAAAAATTACATTTTCAGCCTAGATTTCAAAATTTATTACAAATTTGGTCCAAAATTTAAATTTTTGGCCCAGATTTTAAATTTTTTTTACTAATTTTGTCCAAAATTTACCCTTTTGCCCAAATTTTAGGATTTTTATTATGAATTCATCCTAACTTTAGTTTTCTTTACAACTTTTTTTTTTCAAAAGTTTGTTTCTAATATGTTTTTTCTTTAAACTCATATTTATACAAAAAAAAACATATTTTCACATAAAAATCTTATTTTTTCTATATAAAAACTTTGTTGTATATGAAATATCTAATTATAAAAATAGGTGTGGATTATTTGTGTGATTTCTCTTAAAAAATCAATTAAGAAATTAAAAGTAACCCTAAATTATACTATTAAGTTATAGTTTGTCAAAAACTAGTTACACTCATTTTAATATTATTTATTTGTTCTTTAATCACATTTATAGGAAACGTTTAAATAATAGAAGATGCTACATATTGAAAACTTCATATTTTTTTGTTTATCCCTGAATACATGTTCATACATATAGTTCATCATCACTTTGGATTTCTTTATATAAACTTCTTTGTAAAATCAGATTCATGTGTCAATTTTGTTTGTTGTAATAACAAAAAATAACTATCTAGAATGGAGCAATTGTCATTTGTCGATAAGGAGGTTTTTGGCAGAAAATGACATTTAACAAATGTAAAAAAGTATTACAAACATTGATAGTTACAACTCCTACTGAAATCAATATGGATTGTCATATATGAGATTAGAACAACTTTACATACCTTTTGTCATATATATGTGATCGAAGGTATGATTTAATTTACGAAGATGCAACAGATTGAAAAATACATATAAACAACTATATTAAAATCTCATAGAAAAAAGAATACACATTAAATAGAACACATATTAAAATATGTATATTAATAGTATAATTTAGGGTAACTAGTGTAACTAGTTTTTGACAAACTATAATTTAATAGTATAATTTAGGGTTATTTTTAATTTCTTAATTGATTTTTAAGAGAAATCACACAAATAATCCAAACCTATTTTTATAATTAGATATTTCATATGCAAAAAAGTTTTTTTTAAAAAATTTATATAGAAAAAATAAGATTTTTATGTGAAAATATGTTTTTTTTGTATAAATATGAGTTTTAAAGAAAAAACAAATTAGAAACAAACTTTTGAGAAAAAAAAGTTGTAAAAAAGACTAAAGTTATGATGAATTCATAATAAAATTCTAAAATTTGGGCAAAAAGTGTAAATTTTGGACCAAATTTGTAAAAAAATATAAAATATGGGCCAAAAATGTAAAATTTGGACCAAATTTGTAATAAATTTTGAAATCTGGGCCGAAAATATAATTTTTGAAAGTTGGATGACCTGTTGATCGGGTCAAAGGGTTAAGTTGAATACGATTACCGGTATTTGGAACTTCATTGAATAAAAAAATATATAAGAGCTAAATCGATTATGAGACCAATATGTAGGGACTTTATTGTAGTTTTCCCTATATATATATATATATATATATATATATATATATTACTACTTTATAATGCATATATAATAATGGGGTCCATCAAATTTTAAGGACAGAGTCTTAAAAATAAGAAGGTAAAATTATAACCATTGGATCTAATTTGGATGGTGTAAATTTATTTAATAGTGATGCATGTAAATGTAATGCTCAGATTTTTCAAAACAATTTTTCATTTTTCAAACAACATAAACCATCATTTAATATTGGAAAATCCCATGTTTAACAAATTCCATCGTAACAAAAATACATCCCAAGATCATAAAACAATTCTTCTGTCAGTGTGTACAGATCACGTCGGCGCCTTCCCACGGTCCTCACTAGTACCTGAAACATATAACACAACAACTGTAAGCATAAGTGCTTAGTGAGTTCCCCAAAATACTACTTACGCACATACGCCTTTCCAGGCCCATATCATAATGCCTTCCAGCCCATATCAAGCATATCATACATAACACATATAAACGATTGACTTATCACATACAATGCATACATCTCATAACATTTCCGACCTTCACAATGCATATAACTCATAACATATCCGACCTTCCGGTCACACAATAAAAATCCCCTTCCGGGTATAGTATAGTGAGAAAACTCACCTTGCATGAAGAATCCACCTCTAGTCACGCTGCTGCTAAACACCAATCTCTAACTCTGTGTCAACTCCCACAATTAACCTAATTAGGAACTGAGTCCAACCTTTCACTTACTAGGTCTAAAGATAGACCATATACCGGCCCATTCTTGCCATAACCCATTGGGCCCACCAAGGTCCAATAATAAATGGGTTTTCCCCAAGGCCTAATCTCACCCTACAAGATAAGCCCAACATGAGGCCCAAAACATCGATTAATTCTCTGCTCATATGCTCAACTATGCAGGCTCAAGGATTCAAGCCCAATACTCAAAGCCCAAATATCAAGTCTAGTCCAAAATCCCACAGAGGGGTTACGCGGGGCGTACCTCCTTGGTACGCTCAGCGTACGCTCAAACGCCCAAGGACTGATCGGGGGCTTCAATCCAGTACGCGGGGCGTACTGATATTACGCGGCGCGTAACCTCCTTTATGCTAAATCCATTTTATGGGTCTTAATCCGTTAAGACCGTAGCTCATATCTTGGATCTAGGCTTCCTAACAGTCCTTATTCCATAAAGTCGTAAACTTTTAGCCTTTGCATGGCTGAAGTGATCACAACACACACAATACTCCTTTTCTTTACTCATTAAGCTCTCTATGCATGCATGATCTGATCTTAACCTTCAAGATCTTATTTTTGTGAAACAACTCCATCAAAAGCACTCAAAAGGACGGCTAAAAGGGCTCTGGAGTTTAACAACTTGCAAAGCTTCAAACTTTGGGACCAAAAACCCTAAAATGGACCCTAATATACACAACACAAAAGAAAGGGAAAGCTTGGAACTTTATACCTT